GGATAAGAGGCCCAGGATCATATCAAACATTTGATGGGTTGATGTACCAGTACCCTGGAGCATGTCGCTTGACACTTGCTAATGTCACTGGATCTTCAAATCACTCACGCTTCATGGTAACCATGGAAAAAGTTCCAAAAGGTGTCCAAAATTTCTCCAGAATCCTAAACTTTGAGGCAGAGGGAACACACGTTGCCATTGAGCTGTCAAGTAGCGGAGATGTTCAGGTGAGTGACTGAAATAAATCTCCACAGATGAATCAAGCAAAAATCCTCAAATCAATGTAACATCAGTTTTGCGTTTTGATCTGTTCTGCTAATATAATGAACAATAAACCAGCACTTATCATGATTATGTTTTCACACTCTATAGCATGAATGAGATCATTTGATTTTTTGACACTTGCAGGTTCAAAATTTTCTACATACAAAAAATCAGATTTTGATTTTTGCAGACAGTGTTTTTTACAAAGCATCCAAACTAGCCCTACTAACAAATCTATCATATTCACAGATAAGGTGATGCTAGTGTTTGGTATGCTTTATAAAATATAGATATTCATGATTGTGCATTGACATTTTGTAAATTTACCCTGAGTAGATTTATCCTAAACTGCTACATATGTTTTAAAAGTAGAAGGGAAATGTTTTAACATTTCACCAGCACATTTAAACTAATGTTTTTCAACGACTAAAATTTAAACTCTTCTTTTCCATACAGTTTGGAATATTTTGCATTTTTTTTCCAAACCCAGAACTGTTTAAAATATTTTTACTTTTAATGTGTTAAAGGTTGATGGTCGGCTGACCAGACTGCCCTTCAGCTCTGGGTCCAACAGAATCCGCATCTTCCAAAGCAGCACTCAGAGCATCATCCTTCGTACAGCCTTTGGTGTAACGGTGCAAACCGCCTGGCCTCACTTTGTGGGTTCTTAGGTGGACTTTGTGGGAATTACAACAATGATCAGAATGATGATTTCCGTACACCCAATGGCACTCTGGTCAGTGATTCTCAGGTGTTTGGGAACAGTTGGCAAGGTGGATCCCTGGCAGATACTGTGTGGAAAGCAGATATCATAACTCTGCAGCCAATTTCAGTTCCAGTGAGTACTGTGGAGTTATTAGCTCCCACACTGGGCCATTTGCATCATGTTGGGGTGCAGTGGACCCAGGGCTGCAGGTTAATGCATGTGTGGAGATCCTCCAGGGCTCAAGAGATCCAGCGTCAAAACTCTGCGAGGTCCTACATGATTATGCACTGATGTGTCAACACAATGGGGTTTCCCTTGGACAATTGAGGAATACAACTGGCTGCGGTATGTTTTTGTGCAACATATGATAGAGATGCCTTTCAAATGAATACATTCACCCTTAATTATTGCTTTTAAATAGTTTTTTTCC